TTTTGTCGAAGTATTGTTTTATTATACGACAAAATAAAAAATACGTGTCTAATATTTTTTCATTACCTAACTTACGGACTAAATAGATTTTTAATTTTTATGCTCTGTCATTATCCCTATTATGTGGAATGCTGTTTTATGTTGTTTGCTTAATACCTATTACCGTGTTATCAGTTAGTTTTATCACACATACAAGTCAAAACCAAGCAAAACACAACGAAACTTAAAACATTGTTTAGCAAGTATTTAGTTAAAGTGATCACAACAACACGATTCGCATCCTAACAACATGCAAATGTAATAAATCAGTCCTGACCGCTCGATCTCTTGAGATGCGCCTGCGCATTCAATTGTGTCTCACGCGCATCTGTCACCAATAGCTGCGCAGCTAAATATAGATCGAAATGTAGGACAAACTGTATTGTAGCTAACTAGTTCAAAACTAGATAGATTGGTTCAAATTTATTTTTGGAAATGAATGCAGTTTTTATTGGGCTCAAAATAGCACAATTTTTTGTAATTGTCGGTGAAGACTAATCTCTTCGAGACGTTTTTGTAAGGGCATTGGCTCTTGATGCGTTGGTTGTTTTGTATGTCTGTTACTGACAAATTGCAACATAGGCAATAATATAACTAGAATGTATTTTTTGCCTAGACTAGGCTAGACTAGACTTATTAACTAAACAACTAGACTGCCTCGTTGGCCGAGTGGTCGCAAGTGCGACTATCGGGCAAGGGGTCTCGGGTTCGATTCCCGGATCGGGCAAAGTATTATTGAGTTTTTTTTTTAAATCTCAGTTGTAGCATGGAGTCTGGAAATGTGCCCGGTATATGGCAATAGGCTCGCCCCCTAATACATGGGACACATAACATAAATAGTTAAAAGTGGGTGTTACTTCTGTGTGCACCTTTACCTACCCCTTCGGGGATAAAAGGCGTGATGTTATGTTATGTATGTCATTTTTGTTTCCCTGTAATTGGAAAGTGAAACGAACACACGGAAATATTTTGATCATAACTTCAAATCAAATTTTTAGTCCTGTAAATTATATTTGAACTGACAAAACGAAAATATGTCCAAGATCCTAACAGAAAGTGAAGCTGATGAATTTAAGCTGATTAAGTGAATTGTTGACCTAATGCAGATCATCCTATCTAAAGTTTATCAAATACATACATATTACGAGTGTAGTTATATTTCAATTCGAAGTGATAGTCATATCCTTTTCCAACCGGCTGTAGGTGCTCCTGCATCGGATATTTCGGCATTTCCTTCATCACATTCCCCCAGATCCGGCGGGAAATAGCCATTCCTGAGTTCTTGACACAAGGGGAGCCTGGAATGACCTTTAGGTGACTCATTGGTTACTGATCTTTAAACTGTGCATTCTTGTGTTAAATGCTAAGTGCTAAAATATTTTACCTTATTTGCTCTCTCTTGATCTTGGTTGTTTGCTATGGTGTTCGTTATTCGACGCCTTTTTTAGTTGGATCGGATTTATGCTTCTAATACTAAAAGTATAAAAACTAAAATGATGTATCTACAATTTTGTCAATAAGCTAACTGCGTGGGTCTAAAAGTGTAACTGGTTGAAATTTTCTTTACAATCAGAATACTAATATTGATTGTCAATGGATTCGTTGCCTTCTTCTTCAATGAGTAAAAAAAGATTATACAGCAGTTTTCCGAAAGGTCAGAATCGCTTCTCAATAATCTACCCACGTTATCAATGACGTCATCATTCCTGTTGAAAATCATTCGCAGAGGAAGCAGCGAAGCATTCGCTGAGCATATTATATCCGTCCACGCGTTCAGTAGTTATCGAACGTTTCGGCCAATGTTTACACTATCGGCGTCGGCTATCGGCTATCGGCTATTGTCTGTCATCGATGCTCGTTCTTGTAAACCGACCGATGTGTTAAGTGAGATATTTTGTTTTGTAAACATGGCGTCGGGTGCGGTATTGTCGTTGCGGGCTTGCGACTTTATTGTGAATTGTGTGTGATTGTGAAGTGCCTTGAGTAGTAGAGAAATGATCGAAATATTGTGGAATATGATGGAATATTCTTTGTTTAAATAGCCTTAATGAATGGAGACAAAACCTGATTTTGCTATAAGTGACGTGCATTTTGTTTATTGCAATGTTAATCCTACTAGTAGCGATAGGATTAGAATGGCCGGTTAGTTTAGTGATACTGAACTGCGAAATATTAGTACAGAAATTCCTTTCGGATGTTGTTGACAATTTGATCTTTGTTTCTCCAACTCTCACCAAGTCTGAAATTGTGTAATAAGGTATTAAAATAAATCTAATTTTACTTGTATATTGATATTTATAATAGCTAAGTTTGTATATGCAGCTACGAGTATTTATTCATGAATTATTCCTTCGTTAACACAACGCTTTAGCAAGTCGACGCTTGCGCAGCCAAAACAACTGGCTACTGTTTGCCAGGGTTCCCACAATATGAAATATTGTTTTCGATAAATTGTCAGTAGAGGTACCTGGTGCTTTTTTAAATATAATGTAGGTACTCATGGTCTTGCCTTTTACTTAATTTTTTGCATTTAGTTTTATATACTACATAGTTTTTTTGGTCAGTCATCATCGAGTTTTATCCAGGTTTGAGTAAATGTCAGTACTGGTGAAGCGACTATCACTACTGGTTCTTCTTACTAGCCTTTACGGTTATCGTTGATTTTCATCTGTCCTTTAGAGTCCTGTTCCTAATCTAGAGCCTCTAACAGTGACTTCATGTATGTAAAATTCCTATTGACTTTATCTCTTCAAATCAATTTTGTATCCCTCCTTTATTTTAGTCATCAAAATCAATGCAATCTTCAAAATATTTTTGATGTTTTCTGACATCCCTTGCCTCCACCAGCTCGCGTTCACTTGCTAATTAGCTGGCACCGTTACTGCACTCGCAAATTACTTGTAGGAAGTGTAAATGCACAGCTTTACCGTCCACAGGTGTTAGCACCTTACGCAATGTTTGTCTATCTATCTGTCTGTCTGTCTGTCTGTTTGTTGTTTTCTTGCTTTCCTGGAGTTGAACGGGTTTGTTATAGGGCTTTTCGTATTTTCAGTTCGAAGAAAGCGACACGAGTCTAGAATTTTAACGGATTATCGAATTTTGTTATGTGATTGATTTATAAAACCTTTTATCTTTAACTACGCATGGTTTGTAAACGATATTTATTTTTATTAATTTGTATAATCTTTAATTTGCAATCTCGTTCTATTTTATTATTATCTGTATGCACCTGTGTTAACAAATAAAAGTGATTTATTTGATTTGAAGTCATCGACTTGAAAAGTTAATAATTTACATAATGTTGTTACCTAAACCATAATTCCAACCATATTTTAATAAAATGTTATTCTTCAGTGTATCATCTCCTAACTATGCAATTTATAATAACAAATGGATTCACACTGCATTACATTGATGATCTCATCATGACGTCACTCCTGTCAAGATAAATATGTTATCTATGTTCATTTTCTTCATAGTTAATGAACAAAACTATTAAATTCAAATTCTTTATTGCGTTTCACGATGTTTTACTTAGGTGGTAACATAGAATAATATTGATCATTGTGAACCCTGTCGGGCACAGCAAGGAAATATATAATTTCAATACAAAAAATGTCAAACTAGCATTACAGAATCACATACGTTACAAAATCAATACTAGCATTTTGATACAATTTATACGAACTAAAAAAAGACCAATTATGATATATTATTATTATTATATTAGTTATAGCACGTTGATGAAACTATTATTAATGGTATGCAAGGCCCTAGAAATGTCCTCGTACATTTCCTCTACTTCGTCGGAATATGTCGAGGTAAGGGCGTACACTCGGATGACTTTTAGGTTTAAACAAATATTTGACGCCATACTTTGTTCTATTTATATATAGAGGTATATAAAACAAGGGTAGACAATTATCAAGTTAATTACAATGATGTGGCTCTGATACATTTCATTTTGATTTGTATAGCAGTTTTTACATAAAAGAGGAAGACTCATCTATAGATCTCCATAAACTTTAACATCACACTAGTATAATAAATGTGAACGTTTCTCTGTTTGGATGTTTGGATACTTGTCCGTCAATCACGCTGAAACCGCTGTACAGATTTTAATGAAATTTGATATACAGACAGGGTATGGGCTGGCTTAGGTGATAATCCTACAAAGTATCCACATTTCATCTCGATTAAATGCTCCCATGGGATAAAATAGGAATCATATTCTCCACAGACGAAGTCACGAGCAAAAGATAGTTTATAATATTTCTAGAATAAAATAAAATGATGATCTCTGCCCACCCGTTGCAGATAAGCAATCCAAGTATGTTCCATTTGTTATAGTTAGCAACAAAGTCAAAGATGATTCCGTAACAGTATGTCGGTGAACTATTTAGAGAATCAAGCAGTTAGCACCTGACGATTCGAGCAAACACGTTAAATAAATTAGAATGCACCGCGCTATGTTAGTCCGGTCGATTTCAAAATATATCACTGCAATGCAAACCAACGATTCAATATTTCTACAACGTTTATGTTATGTTGAAATCAGATATAACTTAAGGACTATTAATAATATAAACGAAGGTTTAGTAATGGGTTAAGGGAACTGAATGAAATTTTGCAAGAAGATGGATTATTATCTAGAAAAGTGTGCGCAGTAATGAAATTTTTTGGTACCGGAACCACAAAAATCTATATATTAAAGCAACCCACATTATAGTTCCCCCTTACTTATAAACACGCAGATTGTTATGTTTCTTAACTACATGTTTTGAGTCGGTAAACAAGCAGACGGATCACCTGATAGTAAGCAATCAGCGTCGCCTATGGAGACCTGGAACACCAGAGGCGTTATCGACCTTTCGAGGATTAGGAATTTAAGGATAATTGGGGATTCTTGATTCTTGATTGTTTCATTCCATTTATTAATTAATCCTTTTCTTTTTTCACAGATTACCTCATAACACCAAAAAATGCAAGGACACGCTGTGATGCATGATGCGCGCAGGTTTAAGAATAAAATGCAGCAGATCTTGGCTGACAGGGAAAGAAGAATACGAGGGAAACAGGAATCTGTCATGGACACTCCACCCTCTACACCACCCAGTTCACCGCCAAGGATACCAACAAGGAATGTCCGTAGATGCCTCTTCCCCGAGTCTCTGAACGAAAAAGCAAGGCAAGAATACCGTCAAAAAGTTTTTGAAGAAATTAAAAAACTAACAGAAAAAGATAAGCAAAAATATAATTTCGACGATTATGATATATTTCGAAACGTAAATGGTCAATGGGTATACATGGAACCGAAGCCAGTTATAGACATTGACTCAACCAAGACTCCTCGTCGTGAAACTGACAATAAGTCGTTGCCGGAGATCGGGAAAAGGAAGCGGGATGATGGAGAGGTCGATCACCAAGCTGCTAAGAGACGGTTGAGCTACGATTGATTGCGTTTAGCTTTTGAAATTGTAGAGTAACGTTGAGATGAATAGTTTATATAAATTTAGGCGACTGAAATAACAGAGTTGTCATTTTTGCATTATTTGTATGATTAAAGTAAATAAGATAGAAACAAAACAGCATCCGCAAAACTATTGTCTAAAGCAAACATGACCAATTCAGGAAAAAATGTCAAATTACAGGGTGTAATTGTCCAACTAAATTCATCTCAACATTAAATCTTGTTACCTTAAAACTATAGAATTTTAGGTCACAAAAACATTTACCTAGGTATTGAAATGTCTTATAATTATGTATTTGGTGAAGTTTTAAGTATGTATTGCAAACACTACAAAACGCTTAGTAAAATGGGCAAAAAAATTTACTTTAATGCGAATGGTTGGTTCATTACGATCATTTTGGTTTGGTAGTAGCAATTCATGTTCTGTGATGTGGTTCGATGCGAGGAGCTGCAGACCAAGCACAATGGTGCACTATAAGAGACGCCTATGTCCAGCAGTGCACAGAAACGTGCTGATGATGATGATGATGATAATAGTGATTCTTCCCTGAGTGCACAGTGTAACAATTTTGGACAAATCTGACCCAGAATTTAGCTTTTTGTACCCATAATACGCTTAAATCGTGCCACAATTAGGCTACATGTTTATTAAGTTATTTTAGACACATAGGTTAGTATTGAGTATTTTAAATACTGTTCATGTAAATTAACTAGTTTTTTTTATATTATTATTTCGGCTCACCCTATCTATGAAAGACTGCACTGAGAGTTCTTTTAACAATGTTTTGTTTTTAGTTTAATTTTATTTGTAAATGTATGCAATTTACTTTTTTTTCTTACTATCCACTACACGACATCACACTATGTTATGATCATGTCCAATTTCAAGTATTTTTGGTGATAAAATTTCATTACACATTATTTTTTATTTATAAGATTATCTACACAATGTCTACCAGACCTGCTACGTAATATCTAATAGACGTGCTACGCTACGTCTAGTAGACATGCTACGTAATGTCTACTAGACATGCTACGCTACGTCTACTGGACTTGCTACGCAATGTCTACGAGATGTCTATGACAATAAATAGGTACATGCACATTGCAAATTAAACTCTATATCTTGTCACTTAGATTGCTTTTATCTTCAAAGGAACTTTTGTTTTAGTATTTAAAAAGATTTTTTTGTAATGGACGAATGTGATCACCGATAATGTTTAATTATGTAAAAGTACTTTTATCCTAAAAGTGATACTTGTATAGTTGTTGCTCGAATGTATTTCATGAACGCTTCTGATTGGCTGAAAACCTGCCCAAATGAAATTAAAGGTCGATTTCACTATGCCTGTATGTCCGCTATGTACCGGATAGATTTGAAATACGAATGTAATTTGTATGAAATTTCTGTTATATAAGTTTATCGAAGTGATAGAGAGAGCTATGCTCGGGGTTTCTTTGCACGAAAATTGGAAATTCGCCAAAGAAGAACTAGTTACCGACATAGCTCGCAAAATCTGCAGACTGAAGTGGTAATGGGCAGGCCACGTCGCTCGACGGACTGATGGCAGATGGGCCAGGAAAGCCCTTAAGTGAAGACCACGGATCGGAAGACGAAGCGTGGGCAAGCCTCCCGCTAGGTGGACCGACGACATCGCCAGAGTTGCGGGAAGCCAATCGATGCAGGTGGCGAGTTGTCGTTCGACGTGGAGGACCAAGGGGGAGGCCTTTGTCCAGCAATGGACGTCTTTCGGCTGTTGGTACGGCAATACGGCGACTGGGCTTCACCCAGTTGTACAGTCTCTTTTTGTGCCTTTAGGATTAATTCATTCTGTCTCCTGCAGTAATTCACCGAGGGTAGTGGAAAATATAGTTTTTTCTTCTTCTCCTCTTATAATATCTTCTGATTCACTTCGTTGCGGGAACCAAGACAGTTACTCATGTCCCTGGGACGCGCCGGACTTCAATGTTCCGGTGTTTTCATGGTTGTATCTACTGTAGATCCTGGCTTACAGAAGTTGCAGCGGTTTCGGGAGGTTGTGGCGGGCTTGTCCCAATAAAAAAAATGTTGATGATAATGATGATGACGTTTATCAGGTACCTATATGAATGTGGTGAAACAGGTGCATATGTGATGGCCAGAATTTATTCATGTGTGTATATATTTTTTCAAAAATGAAATACATTCGTTCAGCTTTAGTGTAAACTAACTTAATAATAAATGTTTAGTAGTAAATTGCTAACACATTCTGAAACTAATACTCTATAACTTTTTCTATCTTGATCTCGGGGTTATTGACCTTCAATATTAATTTGGGATAATTTCATAGCGTATACTGAGACTGTTTATTTCATCAATGTTAAAGATTTATAGTTAAAATCAAATTGCATCAAAAATCTGTTTAGTCGTTTTAGATTTCATGGCGAACATACTTACCTGTACATACCGACATATCTATGTATATTCGGTGTTTTCAAGGTTTCTGTTTTTATTTCTCTATGTATTTGAAACAGTTAAAAATATTCAGTAAAAATGTGTATTTCTCTTATTCAATGATTGACTGAAAATGTAAAATTGTGATTTCTGTAATATATTTTACAATGTCTATTTATAAATAATTTGTTTTTATATTTAAATTAGATTATTATTTTATGTTATTCTCATGTCTTTGGCAATGTATAAAATAACTACGTTCTTGAAATTTATTTTTAAAACTTTAGGCTCTATGCACACTAGATTTTTGATACTACGGTACCAAAGTGTATCGGTATATGGTACCAAACTTAACTGGTACCGGTATTTAGTGTCACGTGATATTAAAAATAATGTAACAACGAGGAAATGATTAATTTAAATAGTAAGCTGACATTATTTTTTATTAACTAATTGTTATTACTTTTAAGGATATGGATACGAGTAACATACAAACATACATTCTATCTTTATTTATTAGTTTTGCACATAATTGCAATTTGTCTACGTATAAAGTATTACAAATTAATTTTTTTTCTATGGCAACCGAGTCTCTAATTTAGTTTTGACGACTATATACCAAATACCAATTATTAAAACTACTATTTAAAATGACATATGTCAAATTTATGTCATCTCGCAAAAACAAACAACATAGATGGCCTTAGTAGTAGCTTTGGCACAAAAAATACGATATGTTTTTATCGTTGTTAGGAGTTCCCGTTAAGTGGATGGACGACCTAATAAAGTTCGTAGGGAGACACTGGACGCAGTCTTCCCAGCGGCGATCTGAAACTTCTGAAAGTCATCGAGTATGACCGATGTTCAGCACTGAATGTCTTGATCATGGAGTTGTAATATTCTGTCTCCTGCATTAAAACGTGAGAGAAGTTATTCGATTTCTTCTCCTCAAATTATATTGTCTCATTTATTTGTTATCGTAGGATCCAAGACGAATGCATGCCATACTTTAGTGTTTCTAGTATTGTCATGGCTGTATCTACAGCAGATTCTGGTATACAGGAGTTACAGCGGATTTAGGAGGTCGTGACGGCCTTGATCTATAAAATAAATTGTATGTTACATGTTTCTGTATCCGTATTTACATGTAAACTTGTAAAACAGCTATATTCCAAAGTCCACGTAGGAATGCCTAGCTTCACTTAGTGACTTCTAGATACAAATAGACTTATGTACTTATTTTAGTTGTATCTTTTAATATACATTTCTTTTCGAAATTCTGTACATAGCCATTGTGATTTTGTATTTATAGTTTCTACGTATTTATTAAATTATTGTAATGGATTTTATTTAATTAAATGAATGTCTGGTATCTATATTTTGTTGTGTTATTCTACCTTTATAAACACAAATAAATAGGTATGCAAAGTGGTGCTCGTGAGTCACAATTATTTTCCAAAGGTTGGAGGAGAAAATACAAAAGTACGAACATACATACACACACTATTTTCCATTTATTTTATTGTTTCTTATACTCTTTAAATTACAATGTAACGATTTGAAAATTGAAATTCACTAGAATGTTTTCCGGACTCGAGAAATCATACCCAAAAAATAATTAAGAAATCTATCCCTCTTTGAAAATAATGAAGTGCAGTTATGTCATTATCGTTTTATCATTAACCAATAGAAATCTATTGCTAAAAAAGCTCTTCATTTATATATTTGTCCATCTATACAGATAAATAATATTGGAGTGTCTGCTTGCAATATTAAAATAACCACTTTTTACTACATGCATATGAATATACATACGATACGCATACCAAAATAACATTTTATACAATTCTTGTCTGTCTTTCTGTTTGTACTGGCTAATCTCTGAAATGGCTGGATCGATTTTGCAAGACATTTATTACCAGGTAGGTTACTAGCTGATGTACTAAGGAGTAACATGATTACTTTTCCTACTTTGGAAAACTGGAACAAAAAATAGCTATGTTCTAAAATTCATATTTTACGCGACGAAGTCGCGGGCAACATCTAGTAAAAGGACAAAACATAAACAAAGTAACTCAGCATTTCAACCGTGTCACCCGCATCAGTAAGAACCAAGTATTTGTCAATACATTCTGCAATAGAATTGTAAATACTAAATAACTATCAGTTTGACAAATTGCTCCGGTATTTTAGAATGGCAGCCTTGCCAATGAGACTTTTCCATTGATTTATAGTTTATGGACATTTTATTAGGCTTGTAAATAATTTATTGGATTGATAGTAAAACTGTAAAATTCAATTACAGTTATGGAAACTTTGAATCGCGAGTTACTCACGTGAATATACTGAGAAAAGCTCTACTAGTTTCGAACCACTGAACGGTTCTTCCTCATGAGCAGCGTGCATACACATACATAGCCTCACGCCTGTCTCCCATGGGGGAGGCAGAGACTATGGAACGCACATTGCTACGATTCTTACATACCTCTTTTGCTTCATCAGTCAGTCATCAGTTTTTCATGCATGCTCGTCAGTTACTTTTAGTTATCCCATTCTTTAATTCGCCATTCTAGTCGATATATGTCGAGACGGAATTTTAGTCACCTTGATGACCTACGTGGAGGTAAGTTGGTAAACAACCAACACGGTTTTCGCCTTCAAGAATTTCGAAAATCGATGTGGGTTTATACCCAAACTGCCTGTTTTTTTATGGGTGAAAATTAAAAAATAAACCCCATTCCCAGGTGTCGTATTATAAGAAAACTTATTGAAACATCTTTTGTCGAAGAACATACATACCTGGACCTGGACGGTGACCAAAGGTTCTTCTTAAGGGTATATCATTGAATGGCTTTTCGCGCCTTGTGAGGCGGGAGCGAGTGTCAGACTCTTACTGACTAAAAACCACCCCGTTCCTACTCCTGCACTTCGAGTCGGAGCCCCGGCAACTCGTTAAGTCCTCCGCGGCTCCATATCGGCATCAGCCCTATTGAGCTCCCCATCCGCGGTGGTCTGATCGCTCTTTGAGGCGCGCATGGAACGCAGCGCGCCTTACGCTCGGGTCTGGTTCTGGTCGGGCGGCGAGTTACCCATACTCGCCGTCCGCAGGCCCATCCTTACAGTGGCCAGTGATCGCAATACACTGCTTTTTGATTTGAACTGCTTCAAATTACTAGGCAGTCACTCTTCTAACCACTCGATTACAAAGCTATTCAAGATAGAATACTACGCTTTATGCCTTCCAAAGTTATTACCTCGATTAAACCATTATCCGGATATTTATTGCAATTGCAATGTATTGGAGTCTTGGCCTACAATCCGTAGTATTATGAGGCCGATTGGAAACTCCTACGCAGATTTAATTGCAAGCTTAGCATTCAATTTATAACTGTATTTTAATGGTGTTGATGTCTGAAGTTGTAGGTATTGTATACTTATATGTAAATATAGTAGTAGGTAGTCGTAGATCACGCCTTTTAATCACTTGGGTAAGCAGCGGTGCACATTTATGTAACACTCCATTTCATCAGTTGTGATGAGTCCCATGTAATTTAGTGTGTATATAAATGTCGTGGTGGCCCGGAGGTTTAAGACGCTCCGTTCTCATGCATGAGGGTGCAGAGTCGAAACCTAGTAACGGCAACTACCAATGTGAGCTTTTTCCGAGTTATATGTACTTTCTAAGATTATTTAGACACCACTGACAAACGGTGAAGAAATACATCTTGTTGATAGATCTAAGTTTGAATCAACAACCTGCATTGAGCAAGCGTGGTGATTATTGCTCAAACCTTCTCCGTGCGAGAAAAGACTTTGCTCAGCAGTGGGTCTGTTAATGATGATGATGATGTCAGTGCACAATTCCAAACCACTGTATATATTTGAAGCTTATTTTTTTATTGTTTCTGTTTAAAAGTCTTTATGCACACAAACAAGCACAAGTGTGGACTCAATGCCGCAGGAATTTTCTACCAGTCTGAACCCTTGGTCGATGCAGAGATAGTAACCAGCAGGTGCAACGAATGCAATGCAATGCATGTAATAAAATTAACTATTAAAAAGAGAATAGTACAAC